TGTAGGCTTGAAAACCAGTGGAGAATTCCTGGTGTGAAACCCAGAAGCCAGTGTGAAGGTGACTAGATAAAATATCAGAGATGGAGCTATGGTCTTTCACTACTCCGTGGAAGGTCTTTGCCTTTCCTGCCTTATGCTTGCAAAATCAGAAGGAATGAGGCAAAAGAATAACATGGCAAAATTGGTGATGAGCAGAACAAATGGCGAAGAGTGCTGGGGATCCCATGGACAGCCAAAAGGACAAAGAAGTGGGCCCTAGAGCAGATCAAGCCGGAAACCTCCCTAGAAGAAGCCAAGATGACCAAGCTGAGGCTGTCGTACTTCGGACACATCATGAGAAGGCAGGACACAATGGAAAAGACAATAATGCTGGGAAAGGTGGAGGGAAGTAGGAAGAGAGGAAGGCCACATGCCAGATGGAGGGACTCTATGAAGGAGGTCTCTTTGGGTATGAAGGGGTTGCAGGAATTAAGCAAAGCAGAGGAGGACAGGAGGTCTTGGAGATGTGTCATCCATAGGGCCACCATGAGTCAAGATCGACTGGAGGGCAGTTAACAAGAAGAAGAAGAACAAATGGAGGAGGAAGAGAAATATGAAGGGAGGAGGAGGAGAGGAGGAGTTGTTGTTCATCTACCATGCTGGGAAACCGATTTACGTTTTCAGCTGAATGAGTTCGGAGGATTCCAAACAAAGAATGAAAGTGTTTCTCCCTATATGCTTCCTGCCCTCTGGTTTTCTAAAATCACCTGTGGATGTTCTCCAAACCCTTCATTCTTAGCAGCTGTTCTGTTTCCTTTACTGCGGGGGTCCTTTCCTCCTGCTTTTTTGGTTCGTTCCATTCTGACACCTTGCAAGATCCCCTCTGGGTTAAAAAGTGCAGTGACGCTTGTAACTATTTCAAGGATACCAAACTCCAGGCCTCAAGGCAACTGTTCTGGTAGACATGTGTTGGCTCTGTGGCTGTTTTTGTTTTTCCTGAATGCCTACGGGTGTCTCAAACAATCCAGTCAAGAAATATTTACAGCAGGGGTATGAATCATGCTGCCCCCTCCAGATGCTGTTGGATTGCAGCTCTCAACATCCTTCATCACAAGTTGTGCTAGCTAGGGAATGCTGGGAATTGTAATCCAATGACATTTGCAAGGCTGCATCATTCCCACCCATGGTTTATGGATGCTTTCAAATGTTCAGATTTGTTGCTATATTAGTTAATTCAGCAGCAAAGTCTGGATTCACTTTTTTTTTTTAAAAAAAAGTTCTCATTCCATCCAACCCTCCTGGTTTGGAAATTGTAAATGCTCCAACTTGTAAATGCTCCAACAAGGCACACAACTCTAGTAGGTACATTCTTGCATCATTCTCACATGTTTCACTGCCCAAGTCTGAAATGTGGTGCAAAGATAATCTCCACTTCTATTGGAATGCATTGTTTCATTCTGCAATGGCCTTTACTGGCTTCAGAATGGACCACTGGCAATTACCTATTGAAAGTACTGTACTTTGCTAGAGTTACAATTCCAGTTCACCATGGCACTCCCTTTCCATCGTATGGGATTGTGTGGTCCTCTGAGGAATGGGGCTATGCTGACTGGCATTGCTTCTGCCAGGGTCTCCCACATCAGACATGGTTTTGCTGAAACTACAGGACAACAGCAATAATGGGGAAGGATAATGGTTAAGGATCTGTCTGGCACTCAGGCTGAGTCCTTCTTATTTGCAACTTCAAAATCCAAAATTGTCCACATGGATGGCTGAGATAGTGACACCTTTGCTTTCTCATGATTCAGTGTGCACAAACTTTGTTTCATGCCCAAAATTATGCTTTAAAATATTTTGCACAAAATCACCTTCAGGCTACGTGTGTAAGGTGTATATAACATTTAAATGAATTTAATGGTTAGACTTGGATCCCATCTCTAAAAATATCTCATTGTGTATATGCAATGAATCCAAGAATGAAAAACAAAATCCAGCAGCTAAAACACTTCTGATCCCAAGCATTTCCAATAAGGGAGATTCACCATGTACTGTGCAGAAAGAGGCTAGGATACCTACTTCCGAATTCCTTTTACTTTGAAAGCCCTATGATGAGACAATCTGAAAATCATATAAAATGGGTGTGAGCAAATCAAGCCTCAACTCTCCCCTAGAAGCCAAAATGACTCAAGCAAGGCAGTTGTATTTTGGATATACCATGAATCGACACGACTCTTTGGCAAGGACAATAATGTTTGATAAGGTGGAAAGCAGTAGGAAAAGAGGGAAGCCACATTACAGATGGGTTGATTCAATCAAGGAAGCCACAGCTGCCTTGAGTTTGCAAGAGCTGACCAGAACAGTTCAGACAACTAGAATTCTTGAAGGCCATCGGTCAATACGTCAAAGTCAACTTGATAGCAATCAACAACAAAAACAACAACTAGTTCCAATGTGCAAAAAAGTAGTATACCATCGCTGAAGTTAGAGAGTCGACATGACATAGTGGTTTGAGTGTTGGACTATGACTCTGAAGATCAGGGTTCGATTTCCAGCTCAGCCAGGAAGCCCACTGGGTGACGCTGGGCAAGTCACACTCTCTCAGCCTCAGGGGAAAACAATGGCAAATTTCCTCTGAACAAATCTTGCCAAGAAAGCCCCATAATAGGGTTGCCATAAGATGGAAATAATAATAATAATAATAATAATAATAATAATAATAATAATAACAACAACAACAACAACAACAACAACAACAACAACAACAACAACATTTATTTGTACCCCGCCCCTCTGAGAGCAATCGGGGCGGCTAACAAAATTAAAATACAAAATGCATCATACACCCCAAGTACCCACCCTTAAAAAGATAGTAAATCAATAGAGCATTAAAATCATAGTTAAAACATAATAATAAAAGCCAAATGACATGGGAAGTTAGAGAACTAATAACAAGGAGGTAGCAAACTTTAGAGAACTAATAAGAAGGAAATGACTTGAAGGCACACAACAACCAAAACCAATGAAGTTAAAAAATTATAAAATAACTTGGATTGTCCCATTTCTCCAAAATAACTAAAACAGTTTGGGTTTGTTACTATAAAAAAAAAAAGGATGCTGCAAGTTGCTACCATGCAGCATAAACACCCCTCTATTTCATTGTTAATTCAAAGCTTCAACAGAGCTCAAGGCGGCACCTGCACCATGAAATCTTCCTCCTCTACCATTTAAGTGAGGCCACACTCACAATTAAGTTAAATGACTTCATTGTTTACACACACTTTTAGAGTGTTTATAAAATGACATCTTGGATTGTACATATCCCACCATGAGATCTGCTGGTGTTCACTGTTGCTGAAGTATAAATATTTTGACAACAACCAAAAAAAAAAAAATTTAAACTCAAAAGTTACAGTTACACAGTAAAAAGCTTAACGTTATCTGCTATTAAATTACAGTTGTACTGAATCTAAATACAGTATACATTTGTTACTGAGGAAATCAACGAATTACTGGTTGAGTCTCCCTTATCTGGAATTCCAAAAATAAGAACTTTTTTATGAGTGGCTGAAATAGTAACCTTTGTTTTCTTTTTCTTTTTTATTATATAAAACATTTATTTATACTTCTGATAAAAGACACACTTCTAAAAAAGACACACACAGAAATATATAATGAAAAATTCTAAAGATTCTTACAGAAAAAAAATATATTAGAAAGTAGTATAAAGTATGGTTTCTGATGCTTCGGTGAAACACAAATTTTGTTTCATGCACCAAATTGTTAAAAATATTGTTTAAATTACCTCCAGGTTATGTGTATAAGGTGTATATGGAAAATCTTGTGCTTACAGTTGGGTCCCATGTCCAAGATATCTCATTATGTCTATGCAATATTCGCCCCCAAAAATCCAGAATCCAAAACATTTCTCATCCCAAGCATTTTGGATAAGGGAACCTAGGCATGTTAATAAAACGTCTAAGGTCTTGAGATATGGTTGAGATATGAGGAATGTACATTATTTAGGCCACAGCTACGCAGATGTTAAGCAGGATTTGACGGTCCATCAATGGAAGCCAAGTGCAAAATAATGGCGGAAGCCGATGACCACAAAATTCTATAAAACAGCACATAGGCAGCCCAGAAATTTTATTTCCAGAGAGATTTCAAATCTAATTTTTCTTTTAAAAAATAATTTGTCCCCTTTGTCATCGTCCAGTTTTGCTTTCATTCTCCAAACACAACATACCGTCTTTCTCCTCTCTTTCTGACAGCCGCAAAAATAGTAGAGAATTGCAATACAAACAGAACTTTATTGTCATTATCATTATCTCCCAGGACCAAATTCTTCTAAAAAGACCAGCTTCCAGACACTAGGAAAACAAACAAAACGGGAACTGACTCTGAAATACTGAAACACTATGGAACTGACACAAAACTATGAGGACTGGGAACTTGCAAAGGCAAAATGTGTATTATCTTTCCAGCCACCGTGCCAGTGGTTTATCCTACAGTAAGTTCACATTTAAGACTCCACTTCATGGAAGAAATTACCAATATTCCATATTCAAACATTCTAAAAAAATCCATATTATTGGATTGCTTTTCTGGTGATTTGGATGCCATGAGCTGGATCTACGCTGCAGTATTAATGCAGTTTGGCACTGCTTTAACTTATGTCTCAGTGCTATGGTATTCTGGGATTTAAAGTTTTGTGAGATATTTAGCCTTCTCTTTCAGAGCACTCTGGTGCCACAACAAACTACAAATCTCAGGATTCAATTGGATGGGGCCATGACGGTTAAAGCGGTGTCAAACTGCATTAATTCTGCAGCGTGGAAGCA